TCCAAATTATATTATACTTATGAGTTATTATTAAGTATAATATCTATGATGATATATTTGTTCAAATTATTGAACTACCTTAAAATCATCGGGATATTTTCTTACATTAATATAATATATTATAGATGGATAAAATTAATTTCTGTGATTATAGAACTAGGAGTCAGTAACGAACACTATGATTATCAATTTTCTTTATTCAATACTAGAATATCAGTTATAATGTATTATTATGTATAAATGTATAATAGACACGGAAAAGCTAGGGGGCCATGTAACCCCCTTGCCTCCCTAATGGATGCCCTTGCTCGTTAAGTCTCATCTGTATCATATCTAGTTATTTAATTTTGTATTTTCTTTCATGTGCTGAGAGTTGCTGATACTTTTTTTTAGAGAGGATAATAATATAAACAAGTCCCAAAGTAACACTTTTTAGAAGAAAAGCATAAAAAAAATATGTATATAGGTGTAACTACTTATATAGTAGGTAGGTTTACGGCTTAATTATTATATGACAAGAATAAATTATCAATTTATATCTTTTTTGAATTAACAACTTTACAAAAATTATTTTTTATTTTTCTACATAATAAGAAAAATGTTGAATACATTATTCCTATTGTTTTCTAATAAGAAGCATTAACAATAATAATAAGTATTTTTAAGGTGACGGTGTGGCCATTTATTTAGAGGGAACTTATATTTTTTCTGATCATATTTTAGCCTATGATGTACTTTTTTTTTCTGTTTGAACCCACTCGCGACGGCGTTTTGCGGAATTGCTTTCGCATTACTTCCTCGACGAGCCTATGATGTACCTACAGTGTTGGGTACTAACGTAACGCAAATTACAAATTACTGTAACGCAGCAGTAATTTAATTACATTTTACTTAAAGTAATGCAATTGTAATAAAATTAATTTTGAAAAGTAATTTCTATGAAGTGACTAATAACACGTTTTCCCTTTTTTAAAATAATAGTTTTGAATGTATTACAAAAAACAAGCCGATAGGATATCCCAGAAAAGTTAAAAATCAATTATATTTATATTTATATGATAGTTAACAATATTACTAAACATTCCAGGAATAAATGTTATCACTTTATTAGCAGAAAGAAAAGAGTTCGGTTTCAAAATAAAATTTAATAAAACTTCATTATGATATATGACTTATGACTGTATAGCCATATAGGTGAGACGATTGTACATTTGTACATAATACTATAAGTCTATAACAGGTCTATGATTGTAAAATATATACGTAATAATTGAATAATATGAATTGAATATGCTTAAAAAAAATGATAACAAAAAGTAACATTATTTGTAACGCACTACTTAATTAATGAAAAAGTTATTTAACGTGATAAAAATAATTTTATGTAACGCTAATGTAATTTAAATAAAAATATTTGAAGTCACGAGTAACATAATTTCATTACTTTTTAAAAGTAATTTACCCAGCACTGTAGTACCTACCGGTGCGTACTTGGCTTTCAGACGTGATACACTAATATAGGTACCTCCTATTCCTATACGGCTATACCTACATCGCGAAACGTCATGGAACCGTTTGCAAAAAGTATCTAATCACCGCGGCTGATCTGCCTGCATGATAATCTACGCGCAATAGGTACATCGTACAGGTAGGTACATTAGGCATGTCACTCGCGTCCTATACTGTATATATTTATCATTTTATCAACATAAAATAGTATATATTATTTACTATACCCGCTTACACATTTCTATTATACAGTGTGGTTCACCAAGCATATGCGGTATGCGCTCATCCCCATGTTTTCCTTTAATAATGAATTTATTCAAATTATCATTTTAGGAATTTTTAAGTTCAGTAGTTATACCTTCCTTTCATATATTTAGATTTTTATTTATACCATTCAAGGTTAGGTGTCCCTTATGGACTAGTTATGGTGATACCAACTTCTTTATTTTAAACGAGAATCACGATTCGTCCCTGTAAAATGTCTAGTAGATTATTTTTTTTTTAACTTGTCTTTAAGTTATTTAACTTCGTATGTTATAGCTTATAATAACTGGAGTATGGAAAATATGGAAGATCTGGAGAATATAATGATTTGAAAATTATAGCAATCGAAATTTTATATTTTGTAAAAGCTGTCCAAGTACCTGTACCTATATTTATAAAAATAACACGACTAGATCCAATAATACATATATATATATAGGTATATCATATATATTTTATCTTTGGTACCTCTATATATATTAAAAATTCAGAAACTACTCATCATTCAAATTCTGATTTAGACAGATACATCAAAGTTTTACAAAAATTATCTGCAGCTTAATAAATTGCAGTAAGAAAATCGTTTCTCATTTGAAAAAATAGAAGTTTGTATCTCCACTGACACTCCTTAAATAATCTAAAAATCTAAGTATCTTAAAATATTGTCATTAAGTAATAAGTAAATACCTACCTACTATTTTCAGGATATAGAATTTAAATAAATGCACGACTTTAGGAGTAAATGGGGGTGAGCATGCTAGGTGTATCACCCTGTATACTGTCATCATCGCGTGTAGATACCTATATGAATATATCGATACAATGAAGCAGTCGTACCTAATTCTACAAACAAAATGATCGATTGAAGCTATATATAGGTACACGCGCGAACTTTCATTTACAAATATACGAAATCGGTCGTCGTCGGCGGCGGTCGACGTATTAAATCAAAATAGTTTTTGCTAACCACTGGGATCATGTCGATGACGGCTACGGCAGCAGCGTGCGTATAATAAATAATAATAAAGATATATTATGTTATTATAAATCGATGCAGTCGATGACAGACAGGCCCAACGCGCTATGTACAGAGTGATTCATCAAATATAGTCTGTCAAATTGTTCCATCATCATACCGAATTAATTCAAATCCTGATTTTTTAAATTTTTAAGTACCTATACCTGTTATCATACTCAAAAACCATGTGTCCATATTATATTTTCAAACACTGATGCTACTCTAGAAGTGTGCAGCAGCGCTGTGTCGATGAAAACTTATTTTTTTACAAATGAAAATCAGCCTTTTTAACTGTAAATTTTTGTGTTTTTTTTTAATTTTAGATGTATTATATTAACCGAAATTTAATCTAGTAGTTTTTGAATTAATCAACTTTATACTATATACTTTTGAAAATTATTATTATTATTATTTGGTATCTAGGTACAGATTAACAATCGGTAAAAACTGTCCGAGCGTAACTATAATACCTAATTAATAAATATACCTACAAAAATAAAATTAATTTTATATTTTAGCCTAAAATATTAAACCCATTATCTGCATAGGACTATTATCCTTAGTAAATAGTTTATGACTAGGAAATAACTCAGATTAAAATGATTTAAACTCAGATTCAAATGATTTAGATACAACAACATTATAAAAACAAATTTTGTTTAATTATTTCCAGTAAAAAATGGGCGGTTTTTATTTGAAAAAAAAGAAGTGGACTGGTAAGTCTTGGTAATTTTTTGTGGTAAGGTAAATGTACGTACATTTCACTGATATTTTTACAGTTCATAAAATTGAGTGACTCCTCATTGCAATAATATTATTTTCAATTGCAGAATAACATTATTTTAATAATATTTGGTTCACGATAGTACAGGACGGTGTGACAAAATATTATTATTAAAAAAAGGGAAATTATGACAATTCCATAATCATGAGTATGGTAATAAATTCATAATAGCAACAAAAATATTATACTGATATCTATTGAAATTAACCGATGTGACTAATGATACAAATATTATTGAGTTCATAATGAACTTACCTATCAGGCACGCCCGCAGATAAGTAGCTCACTAGGTACAAAATACTTTTATTGACAATATAAGCTGTGACCAAAATAAATGGTATAAGAGACGAATGGTATTACCTACCGTTCTTTCATCACTGTACCCTATACTAAAGTTCGACAAACGACGGTTTCTTAGAATACCTATGTATTTAATATATTGGGCATAATCAAGGACAAAAATTATAAATTAACAGAGAAGGAATTTTTATAATTTATTTTTTATTTGAAATATCCAAATTATTAAAACTCTCAGGTGGTGCAAACCCTCCGGGTGTGTCTGTTAGCTATTATATAAAAAAAATACTTATTAACTAATAGGAACATAGCTAAAAAAACAAATTTGTGTACAATTTAACCATAAATGTAGCAAACATTTTTTTACGGCACATAACTCCCATCATTACACACTGAACCTAGAACGGTATAACAAATTATATGAAAACAAGCCTCAATATTGGGTAAAAGTACAACCTACCTATACCTACCTATTTAACAGGTAGGTACCTAGTTACTTGAAAATTCAGAAAAATATCGATTCAAATAAGCGCTTTATGTGGACGGGGAAAACGGGGGTGATCGTGCACGGTGAATCACCCTGTATACACATGTATCATGTGTGTGTACGTCGAAATCGACACGCACATCCTGGTCGATTCGATCGCACTACGCGCTCACCACATATTATATTATATAGGTAGACACGCGCGAGCGTCCGCGTTTATATATCAATCGTTAAACCTCTAACGAGCCGTCAGTAGTCTTCCGTCTCCCGACCGTTCCGTCTCGCGCGCGTATATTCACTGCACGCCCGGCCCGTTACCGCCAGCACGCGTATTATACACGATATTATTATAATAATACATCATACAACGATATACAGCGGTAACGGTATAGGCAGGTATATAACATCATTATATTATTGCTACCGCGTTTACTACCGTCCGTCGCAGTGATGCTGCACGGCCGCGCCGGACCGCCCCGCGCCGCCCTGCAGAGACGACGGTAGAGCCGCACCGGAGACCGCGACAATTATTTGCGAATAAGTACCTGCCTACATAATATATAGGTAATTACCTATATACCAGTGATTGCATGTAGGGAAGACGAAGACGAAGACGACGATCAATCGTATAATTATATAATATGTGGCGGCTACTGTTGATGGGAACGCTGCTCCAGTCGACCGGAATCATCGTCCAGTGCAGGAACATCAAACTGATATTGCCCAGCGTACCAGACGTCCTACACCCTCCGGTGCCGTCCTCCCAAGGTCAGTTTTTTTAAAATCATTTCTTGTTATTTCGTGTCCATACACAATATCATGCGGTACTTTTCGTCTTTTCCTATTAATTAGTGTATCGTGTGTAATCTCGACAGGTTATAGCCTATAGGTATGGAGGTACTCCAACCTGCATTTTAGTGTATTTATTTAGGGTAATATTTGTTATTTACGAACTCGAAGATAACATTGAATTGAGTCCCGCCAATACTTTTGGGTTATCGGAGTTGAGTCCGACCAATATTATTGTTAGGTGGTTCAAGTTGAGTCCCTTCAGCCTATTAGCGTTACCCAGGAAACACCAAGTGGAGGAGGTTGGCACAGTAATCTCACAAAAAAACATGTGTGATTGTTTACACTGTTTTTTTTTTTTTTTATTGTAATAATAAGTATAACGAGTCTATATGGACTCAATTCAAAGAAATTAAGATAATAAGCTGGACTCGATTCAAACACATAAAAGTAGAATGGACTCAATTCATATCACCGACATATGGGGCCATATAGTTGTTAGGTAGGTACCTATGTACTTCTTAATAAATTATAATAAAGAAACTTGAAAATAAAAATAAAAATAAAAATAAACGCTGAATAAATATGTATATAACATGAATGTAAAACTGCAAACAGTTATAGCAGTGGTACAAATTTATTTATAAAAGAGACTTGTGGCAAGTTTAAGTCATTTGTTATTTGAGTAAATAAAAAGTTAGGTAGTACCAACTTGTGGTTTTTTGGAAGTCAGAGAAATTCACATGGATATAATCTAACGGTATATAGACCGATGAGTACCTGAGAGTTAATTTATTCCGCTCGTATTAGTCGATCGCCATAAACGATAAACCATAAACGTGAAATATTTTAATAGTGTTTGCTCCAATTATATATTTTGTGATTCTCCTACATACCTACCTATATGTCGAAATAAATAAGTATTTAATTAATAATATGTAACTACTTAAAAACTTTGGAATACGATGACCGGATGACTGATAAGTACCCATACGCACCTATTCGTGTACGCTGTACTTGTGGTTTCCGAAGCGAACGAAACGAAAATATTAAGTAGGTACTTTTTGTTTATTTTTTCGCTCCTAACCCCCTGACCACTGAGTACCAGTGCGGTAAGAGGGTGGTTACCATGTATTTACGATAACCCTCACAGCATAGAAATATTTCCTAACTCTTATATTCTATTATCTATATTCTATAATTCTATATTCTTTGGCCAAGAAGTTCATATTTTTGAAAATATTTTAATCTTATAATATTTTCAAAGAACATTTTACTGAAACTTTATAAAAATATTTATCATTTCCCAAAATGATGTGTGGGAAACGATCGCTATTACTATTCGATTTTTACGTTATCGTTATTTTTGATTTTCATTACAGAGGTCAGAGTCCAGAGGACAACATTAACCTGCAGAACCAAATTTTTATTGTTACCTAACTTTAATAATGAAGTGAATTATTGACCTATCATCAAATGTATATAGATTATAGGTAAGATAGGACAATCTGGGGAATCTCATAATATTTTTTTGATATTTCCATTTTAAAGTGAGTAGGTAATGAGCATTTTTGAATTGTAAGTAAATTGTAATATTTCACATAGCTATCATAGCTTCAAAATTAAAATATCGTTAAAACCAACTTATCTATATTAGGTATACTATACGATATTCAGACCCGTGAGGATTACCTCAATTCACTCTAATATTAAAGCTAACGACACAAAATTGGTTCAGCTGAACGTAAATTTGATGTGCGTTACGGTAAGCTTAGGTACGTGTGTAAGACGTGGAGAAGTGAGAACAACATATTATTATACGACAAACGTGTACCGTTGTGTTTATGACGTCCTCTCAAAATATTGATATTGATAATAATTAATTATTGTTATTCGCAAACGGTTTAACGGATATTATATATTATATTTTAACGGAAACTAGACAGCTACGAGATAATTATATAATTATTTGCTGAAAAGAAAGCATGATAACATTTTTAAATATTCGACCGTCTTCGTAATTGAACTTGAAGGTTAGTTTGTGGAAATATTGCGTTTAAAATAAACAGGTACCTATAAATAACAAGTACCTACATATTGTATATAGTATATGTATTATATGTAATATCAGTATATAACATTATAACCTGTATAACAGAGTTAAATGTATGCTGATAATATGAGTATAAATATTATAATTATTATAATGTGTTTATACTTAATATTTATGAATCTAACGTTTTTTTTTTATGAAAATGTGGTTTTGCATGTTTTTGCACATCGCCCTAGAAACAGTACTCTATTTATACTAAAATACTATATAAGTATTTACAATGTACTATTCAACTACACTTTTACTGATTTTTTCTAAACCATTCCCGCTGAAGACATAAATGTATAAAAGTAACATTATTAAAAACGTATAGCTAGTGGACAAAATAAAAAAAAAGCCGTCAAGCAGGTAATAAATAATAACCACTCTGCTGTAGTGCTGTACAATTGTAGGTGTTAAATGTAGGTACCTCCCATTGACTATAGGTCACTATAATGGATGGGTTAAATTTTAATTCAATAAATCTTATATTGTATACTATTAAAATACGACTATCGGAGGTCTAACTTTTTGGTAAATATGTGGTTACCAAACTATTAATTTAATACCCTACCTAAAAATGTTAATAAATGGTCGTATTTTTTCCCCGATTACCTATTTAAAAAAAAACTGAGAAATTTCTTATCAAAGTAAATACTATATTATGTATAATTTTTTACCAGAAACCTTCATCAAAGTTGATTATTGAAGCATTAATTGTTTTACTAACAAACATTTTTTCTCAAACAAAAAAAACACATACCATTGTTTTCGGTGTACCACATTTTTCCGTTTACTCCGGCTAATAAATAGTGGAGAAAAAAACTTTTTGAGCACGAGTCTGACTGACGAATGAAAAGCGATTATATCTAGTACATTTTATTAGAATATACATCTAGTCTAATGAAGTTTTGAATTGTAGTTATTTGTGTAATTTTTGATTATGATTATAATATTATATTTGAACTCAGAGAAAGCGTATTTAGCAAATTATAATAAGAGTGGTTGTCCGGTGTAAATCGAGGGAAAGGTGGTTTCGAGGACGTATGTGTTTTATATATATATAGTATACAAATCCGCAAATTTTTGAAATATGCCAAAAGTGTCTAATAAATAATGTATGCATAATATATGTGCCAAATTGCCGCAGTTGTATATATTTAGTTATGCGTCGCGTCGAATAATTTTTCGGCAGAACAACCGCTAATACCTGCATCAAGTATTAACAACGTATAATATTATACAGGTTATTTGCCAAGCATGCCACCCCCATTTTAGATTATGAATGAGTTGATGAATGTGTTGATTGTAGGTACAATGGTGTGTGTTGTTTTCCATCTGTAAAAAAAATAAACCGTGGTTACATTTAAATAAATACAAAGTAACACTCGTTTGAATTTTTGATTAGGTAAACTTCAACATTTTCAGAAAAATTATCCACAAAATTATTTCTACAGAAAAAAACCCAGTTATCATTTGAAAAATAGAAGTTTGTATCATCAGAGGATACTTCTTAAATAGTGTATACCTACAATTTAAAGAATTTAATAATAATAAGGTATTTAAGTATATTTAAATATTATTCCAAAAATTAGAATTTGAATAAATTCATAATTTAATGATAAAATAAAAAATGGTTGTAAGCATGCTTGTTGAATCGCCCTATATTTATTTTAATATCAGTTGTGTTATCATATAATGCGAAACCAACAGTCAACTCAAGACAAACGCGAATAAAGTGTGACAACTCGAAAGAAAGTCAACTGACCGCGTTGCAAAAATGGTTCGGAATGTGAAAATTGGCTATAATAAATAATATTATGCTGCCTAATGCGTTTTAATATATTATAGTGCAGTTTCTGAAACGAGAGCTGAAAAGTCTCAATATGTTATATGTATATATTATACATCCCATTTAAGTATTTAGTTGTAGGCATACCTACTAAATAAAATAATATTGGAATAAAAATAACTGTAGGTGGGCAAGTACGGTTTCAGATTGGTACTCGGTACGCCCGATGAGTGGCAATAAATACCAGTGGATTATTTAAGATTTTAGCGAGGAGGGGATATGGAAAATAAAATTGTTCGTGTCCCACATTACTTAATAATAATGTATCAATAATAAACATAATCAATTATAGTAAACTGTATAAATTAATTTTTTTTTAGGGCAAAGTCGCAAAGCACTTTAACGTTTAAAGATAACTTCGTATATTCTTATATTTCTTCTTCTTGATGGTATGATAACAAGGCCGATCCATTTATATAGTATTAAATCCTATAATAAATACTATTATAACTTAACAACTTAAGAGGACGTCACACCCGCATGTGCTGTCTCCATCTTACACACGTATACATAGACAAAACTCGTTTACGCAGTCTGAGAGAACTCGTTCAATCTTGGCGACTGGCGTTACAATAAAAACACCTATTACAAAATTAAAAAATGACAATATTTTGGAGGGCAAAAAGTTGAGCTTTTTTTACTAAAATTTAAATTTTTAAATGATAAAGGTATTTTTAAAATGTTGAAATTTTTTATATTTCTAAACGATATAATGAACGTTATATTGGATATAATGGAAAAAACGCAACGACTTGCCCTCAGAAATATTGTCACAATTCAATTTTATAATAGGTATTTTTACTATAGAACCAAAATTGAGTGATTTATACCCAGACTGCGTAAACGCGTTTTGTTTATATTGTAGGTGTGTAAGATGGAGACAACACATGCGGGTGTGACGTCCTTTTAATACAAATAATGTATTTTATTAAGTTGTTCTTAGTATTTGGTAGGTACTACGTACATTGATAGCTATAAGTTTCCAAAAAAAAATTAAGTTCAAGGTAATATTTTATGTAATATTTAAAAAATAAT